CCAATGGAGTGTCTCAGACAGTCAACCCGGTACGGATAAGTCCCACCCTTGTAGATTCGACCAGTCGGGTTGCAGACACTCTCTGAAGCTGTACACTTGTAGCCAATGAGCAGAAGAACACGTGGATGTGTCTGAAGGCAGGATTGTGTGTGTGAGACGATATCGGATCGGCCAGTTACCACTGTGAAGTAAATCATCGGATACCGTAATTTCGTCCAGTATCGGCCCGATACCGATACCCAGTATCGGATCGGCGCATCTCTAATATAAATACATATATACTGGCATCATTGTTATTTTATTGTACTTTCTTTATATATTTTTGGATGCTGCTGTGGTGTGTACATTTCCCCAATGGGGGATCAATAAAAAAATATTCTATTCTATTCTATTCTATTGTTCTATGAAAAGGGTTTGTATTTAAAACATCTGTGTGGGCATACAGGGCCTTAAAATACATAACAGTATAAATCATGTAGCTTTAGACAAAAGCAGATAAATGACAGCCAGCCAGTCAGTAAAGCTACAGTTTATTCATATGAACATTTTCAAAACTGGATCCATCTTTGGTTCTATTATGTGTCTTTAGTTTGTTCTATATAATATGTACATAGTTGTATACATATTTGCATTTATTCCATAATTACAAATATTACAAATATTTCACAGTGGAGTAGAAATTTTTATGTAAAACCACTGGATTAAAACAGATACAACAGAGTTGCTTTAATACAGCTTTCTTTGATACACATTCAATGTTTATAACAGAATTCTGAATACGTTGCCATGGAAATGAATTTGATTATCAGTGATGAAAAGAAAGAAAAAATACACTCCTTTAACAGCACTTATAAATAATATATATATATATATATATATAGTGAATATATCTATTAAGGACATTAAATAAAATGGGCTGTATTAGAAAAGACACTTTATTACATCCATATAATCTGCTACACATTACTGGAGCCAGCGGATGCAGATGAGGCAGGACACCCCATAACACAGTGTCCAAAAAATGACAGTGGAAAATAAAATGAAACCAGATTTTTTTTTAGAGAAAAAAATACATATAATATAGCTGTTGTCTTACCACAACAAAAAGGGTATTGCTTGTGGATAGCTGGTAGAAAACTAAACCTAAATTTGCCTTTTGCCTGCTTGTTAGCCCAGAGTGACATGAAAAACTGAAAATGCTGTCAAGGAAGGTTAAGGAAGAAAAAACAGGCAAGAAAGAAGAAGAAAGAGGACGGGAGACGGCAGCAGGGAGGGAGAAAAGAGACATCTACCATAGTTTGTATAGTGATTACCTCCATAGACCTTTCGTACAGATACACTGTGATTTGCTGCAACCTCTCTGTGCATGTGTTCATTAGCTGTGTCTCCATGGCAACTGAAGTGGCAGTGTCAAGGCTTGAAGTCGCCCAGGGGGTGACCTTGCCTTTGACAAGCGCACACAGCTGCATCCATCTCTCTTTCTCTCTGTCTGTCTCTGTTTCAGTCCTTCCATTTCTTGAGCCAGCTGCCCCCTCTGTCATCCACCCCAACCCGAGCTAGCAGACAGGAGAAGACTTGGCACCTACACGTCCTCTTCCTTAAAAAAAACAAAACAAAACAGCCAAAGTAGTTCTTCCTCTGTGTCTTGCTCGCGCACAGACTTGACTTTGTGTGTAATGAGATACAAAAGGACGTCCAGCTGTCGGGAAGTGTTACTGGGATCTGAAGCAGGAGGAGCATGTCCCTCCTTTGTCCTTCTCCAACTGAGGGGTGATGGTGTCGGGGACTTCTGATTGGAGCATGTCATTCTCACTGGCAATGATGTGTTTCACCAAGCAGTTGGCTGCTTCGTCGATGTTAATGTTTTCCTGAAAACAGAGGGGAAAAAGGGAAAGAAGAAAGAGCCGCAGGGGGCGACGAAAGAGAGATATGAAATATGAAAAGGTGGAGAGACGGTAAATTGATAAATGCAAACATCAGTATGAGGTACTGAACAAGATGCCTAAAACATTGTGTGCAGGAGGAGAAACCTGTGAGAGCAGGTGAGTGAATCAAATGGACCATAACTAAACTGAATAGATGGATGAAGCACCAGTCAGCAGCCATGACGCGAACACAAAGTGAAAAGAGATTTTTGCATACACTTATTCACAGTGGCTGGCAGGGGTCTGAGACAGTGACAAATGGCAACGCAACCTCACCCTCCATCACACACAGACGCACAACAGTGAGAAAAAAACACACACAAAAAAAAAACATGTTGAGTGATCAAACAAGCAAAACTAAATGTGGTGAATATCTAAAATGTTTTCAGTGCAGCATATACACCTGAAACACCTGCAATGACTCAAATCCAAATGATGTCAATTCAATTTTTAACAGTTGATTATTTATTCAGTGATCTGCATCCTAAATGAATGTAGCAGCAATGAATGAAGAATGACAAAGAATATGTCTACAAAAGCTGAGTATCTATGTATGATATTGTAAAAATATAAATGAAAACAGAACAAATTTTATCTAAGTCAGACAAAATTCATCAGTTAAGTCCAACTCATTCTCTTGTAACATTGCAAATTTAAATTAGGTACATTTTCCCATGCCTGTAATTTTTCATTATTCCTTTATCAAAGTTTATTTTTGGGGAATGATCCCTTAATTGGATACAAGAAACAAGGCAGACAATATACAACAAAGGTCTGCATAATATTCAAACAGGCCACCAGGATCCTCATTTATGCAATTACTTCTGCAAACATCATAGAGATAAATGGTATTCAAAAAACTTGCCTCATTTACAAACCCTCTCCACCCAACAAACCACAAATGTCAAACATTCTCAGCATCATTCATGCAAAGGCTTTGGAGCAACAAGGAACATAACTCAGAGCTGATAAACCAGAGAATCCGCTCTGGGTGTTTTATTGAAGTTCACATGAGGAGAGAACAAGCAGAGATTATTGATGAAGAAGACACAAACACACAGACACTTTTCTAATATGTGAACTTTTCTGCTGCAGCAGTTGTTGATGCACGAAATATTCATGAGATCTAACAGTGTGTTTAGAATGATGTGAAAGGCTGCAGCACAACACAAACCCATCTGTGTGCCATGAACTATCAGACCCACTGTTAGATCTAGAAGTAAAGATTCTTCCGAATGAAACTGAAAACAACAACAAACAGCACATCCTCTGTTCTCTGCTAACTGTGCTTCTCTCTCTTGTGCATGCAGAACATGTCCAGACCCGTTCAAGATAAAAGTTTGGAATAATTCCTGGTGGCAGGTTATTCAGGCAGCGAGCTCAGAAAGACCCTGATGTGATACAGACTCTGGAAACTCGTTCAGCTCAAAGGGAGACTGTGTATGTTCTTGCTCAAATGGGATTTGAGGCATTAAGATGCACATTACTTAACATTTATGGCCTATTACTATTTCTATTTACAGTTACAAAGCTGGTTGTGAAATGGCAGCACTTTGCTGCTAAAAAAAAAACACTTTGGCAGGAGCTTTATGTGTTTACACAGTCATTTGTGCAACTAGTCCATTTTTCACATACCAGCTCTAACTGTGCATGATTTTCCAAAAATGTCTCATGACTGCTTTTCAGCTTTTAAGTTCTTTTATCGGTTTACTGCCTTGGTGTGAGCCGTTTAAATACTCAGTTTATTATTGCAGCAACGATTGTTGATCACCTGTCATTGTTGATCATCTGGTGTGTTGGATAGATGTTTTTCTACTGTTACTGTATGTCTGTCTGAATTCATGATGCATAGTCAAATTTCTAAAGTTTCTATTCATAAAACTGCTAAAAATGTTGCGTTGCTGAGGTTACTCTCTGAGAGCGTGTTACTGTTCCAGCTACAGCGCAAAACAACTGTGACGAAAAACGGATTTTGAATTCAACACAGTTAATTGAGAGTTTTAGTGAAGTTTACTTGCAATTTTTGCACTGCATATGAATGAGCTAGGAGTATGTGTGTACGTGTCTGTGAGGTGTACATCTTAATCTATTTTCTTCCCTTATCACTGAGCTGTGAGATTCCTTGCTGTCATAGTCAGGACTTGTGACGAGTGTCAGTGTGTTGCTCATTTTACGGTCAGAAGCCACTCACTGCATTCTTTAACTCTGTCTGCATAATGTAGTTTTGAATCACTCTGTACTTTAACTCTTGCTTTTCTATGTGCTTGATATTTAACATATTTATTCTCTTGCTTTTGTCTGTCTTCATCTCTGTGTATTGTTGCTATGCTATCCTGTGTTACATTCAGACTGCATCATGGGCTTTTGACAAATTGATATGCACTTGCACTGGCATTGTGTACACATAAATACATAATACCACTGTTTATGTTCTGATACCTGAGTGATTTAGCACGTCTGTTTAAGATCAAAGTTACACTTTGTGTTGGAGTCTGAATTTCTAAATGATATCCAGCTCTGAAGAAAAACAAAATCACAAAATGTCAAAGTAATCCTTCAGGATTTGTGCAGTCAGTGGAAAACAGAGGTCTGATATATTCCCTCAACATTCTTGGACATCCTGTCTGGATGATGGAGAACCTGATGCAAGTGCAGCTGACCTGGAATAACACAGAAGGAACTTCCACTGTGAGACTCTGAAAAAGCAGCAGAGTTCCCTGACTGAGGCTTTATTCATATGCAAATACTGAATAGACTGGTACTCTGTTAAACTCAGCACTTTTAAAGGACTCCCTCACACCCAGAATGTGCTTCTGTGAGGGCATCTCCACAGGGTGAGCAGCCTCTGGGTCTGATGAAGTCAAGAAGTCAGCTGCTTCTTGAGGAAATTTGAACAGAAAGGACATGTCTGCTGACACAAGGGTTTGAACTTTAGAGCTCCTGTTAAAGGATGTTCTTTGTTTTGTTCTATGTTACTATCGTGTGTTTCTGTGTGTGTGTGTGTGTGTGTGTGTGTGTGTACCAGCATTCTCACCTTAGCAGATGTTTCGTACCATCCCACAAAGCCATTCTCCTGGCAGAATTGCTCCATCTTTATTCCATTATTGGTCAGTACGTCCCGACCCTGGTCGCATTTATTAGCCAAAAGCACAGTGGCTACATGTTTCCCATTGGCTAGTGTCAGTTTGGAATCCAAATCCTCCTTCCATTTGGTGACAGCCTCGAAGGAGGCGGGTCGCGTGACATCAAACACGATGAAGGCGCCCATGGCTTCACGGTAATACACACGGGTCATGTTGCCAAACCGCTCCTGACCTGGAACACGTGGACAAAGACACACAAAAAAAAATATTATTGCTTGGAGTCAGCGCGAATATCTGCAGACCTTCCATATATCGACATCTATTTTCTTGGTGGCGAAGCAGGTCATTTTACTGCAAGATCCTAAGGTGTTCTCAGGCCAGATGAGATATGTAGTCCTTCCAGAGAGTTCTGGGTCAACCTCCCAGTTGGACATGCCTCCAAAAGAAGGCATATGAGATACAAGAGGGCTCTAATCAGCTGGCTCCCTTCAACATGACTCTTTGGAGATCCCTTTGGATGCTCCTTATTCCATGTCTACTAAGCCTGAGCCCAGCCACCCAACAGAGGAAACTCACTTCGACGGCTTGTATCTGTGATCTCATCATTTTGGTCACCGCTCAGAGCTCACAATCACAAGTGATGGTTGGAAAGTAGACTGACTGTTAAATCAACAGCTTTGCCTTCCAGCTCAGCTCCCTCCCACTCATGATGCTCCGGTAAAATGCCAGAATTGCTGTTGATGCTGCACCAAGCCGTCTGTCCATCACTCATGAACAAGATCCTGAGATAACTCCTTTTCTTGGGACAGCAACTCACCCTCAACCTAGAGGGAGCAATCCACCAATTTCCAGCAGAGAATCATGATCTCAGACTTGGAGGTGCCGACTCCCATCCTGGCCGCTTCACACCCGACTACAAACCACTTAGTGCAAGCTGAAGGTCATGATCTGATGAAGCCAACAGAACCAGGTCATCCACAAATAGTGAAGACATGACTCTGAGGTTCCCAAACCAGACCTCCTCCCCACTTTGGCTGCACCTCGATAAATATCATAAACAGCATCATAGACAAGGGGTGGTGGAGTTTAATGTCTCATAACAATGGCTTATAACCTTATATTCCTGCATTACTCCCTCCATGGTTGTTGCGAAGACATGGTTAGGACTAAATGATCTAACCTCCATGACCAGCTGAGCAACTCCACAACAGCAAAGAGCTGCTCCACTGAGTGCAGACATTTCATCTAGTCATAGATGTACATAGAGAAAATCTTTTCATTTTGATCCCTTGTACAGATAGATCAGCATCATGATGGCACATAGAAAGCAGGCGGTCACTTTAGCAGTATCTATTCTAGCAGTAGCTATTGTAATTTCTCCTTCTGCTCTGTCAGATGTGCTTTCATTCTCCCCCATACTTCACCTGCACTTAATTTACATACATGTGTTTACAGCAGCAGAAAGAGGGAGATAAGATGAAAACACAGATAGAGGCAGAGCGGAGGGAGGAGAGATGTGTCTTTGTTGTGAGTGTGTGCGTGCCTGCCTGTCAGATTGTGTAGAAAAATTCCTGAGAGTAAAATTAATTTGATAAGCCCTGTTGGAATGCTGTATCCACACAGATTTTCCCATCCATAGCTTCTGCTCCATCAGTCTCAGCTGCAGAACAGAATCAGCTTGTGGGTAAGAAATTGTCACAGTCTTCTTTTTTCTTCTTCTTCTTTTTTAAGAATTAGGGCAATACTGTATGTGCTTATTTGTTTCTTTGGTGAGTCCCACAGGAGTGTTTCTCACATGGACAGGTGGATCAGGGTACAGGGTCAGCGGCAAAACAGCTGCGAGAATGAGAGTCTTGCTCAAGGACATAGCAGAGGGGCAGATGCTTGTTGAAACCAGGCTTGAGACTTTTATGTAGTATTGTAGCATACCAAGCAGAAAATGATGCCTCCAGCATTGTCAAACAAAGTGTTTTCTGGGCAATGACACTATAGAGGATGCTCAAAGGCCTACAACAAGACTAGAGACTTAAAAAGCAAAAATGTCACAAAAAGGTCAGAAAAAAGCATCCTTTAGTCACTTCTGAGAAGAAATATAAAAACCTCTCATGTAAAATAACCAAAGCTGTTCGGAATTAAGTGTTGCTCAAAATATGATTGATACATACATGTATTCAAGGCCTTTAAGGTGATCTTTAGGTGGTAACAGCTCAAAATAATCTGTGTGATTTCAAAAGACTTAAACAGTGTTTAAAACCCCAGAAATAAGCCCCAAACCCGCCTCACTTAGATGTACATAGCAAAGGCCCGTGAAGCCAACCCTGTCACCCTTGTCAGAAAAATGGCAGACCAAAATAGCACAGTTGAGGTTGTTTATCTTGGGAGATGCACAGAAACAGCAAGTGATTTATTATATCTGTGGCATGAGAAAACTTCAGACCATCATCAAATCCCCCAACAGGCCTGTGATCGCGCAGGGTGAAATAAAGAAGAAAGATATGTTTTGGATGAAACTTATAAATGTCAGATGGAAACTGTTTTTTTTGTTTGTTTTTTAGTTGTTTTGTTTTAAATTGCAAGCAGCGTGTTATATGATACTGTAATGGACAGAGCTCATCCTGAATTATGCAGACAGAGGATTAACAATTTAGCTTTCAGTGCCTCCAACTTCTAGGTGAGTGCAGGGAACACATTACAAGACATGTAGCAGTTTCTTCCAAGGGAGACCCTCATCTGTAGTTCATAATAAAAAGCTTTCTGTATACAGAAGCTTGGGCCTCAAATCTCCCTCACATGAGTTTGAGACACATGACTGCTTGTGCTTGCTGGAGAGAGCACACAGGAGGGGAGAGAGCAGCAGGTCAGAGGATTCTTCCAAACCTCAGCCGACACTCATGTGACAGGAGACTGCTGTAGCCTTCAGGTTTGTCATCTCAGCCCACAGCATCGCATTCAAAGGCTTGTATTATTTCTGAATTTCTGTGCTCGCCCAAGGCAAAGTAATACATTTTAACAAGAAAAGATATTAGAATTTGTCGTCATTAAAGCTGTTTCCCTTCCATCCCTCTGATCTCAGTGAAAAACAACCCAGCTCATAGACACGTATTACAGCATGCAACGGGTGATACAAATATATAACACAAAATACAAAATTTAGAGAATAATGGTGTGTTCTAGAGGTGAGGAATGACACCTAGGACACAACACAGGATTGTAGAGAAGAGGTGAGAGACTGAGGTAGGGTAAAGTTAGGATTCCTGATAATATATTGTATAAATGCAAAGAAATTAGTGGATATTTGATTGAATTACTTGCTGGTTTAAATGTAGTTAAAGAGACCTAATACTGTCATACTACTAGTTTCTGAGCAGAAATATCAGGTATTGGCGACTAGATGATCCCAAATCATAACCAGGATATAATAAACATACTTGTTTTCTGTCTCATCCTGGATCCTGTGCTCATTTTTGGCTCTATATTTGACAAGATTGTTTCATTTTTAAGCCCAATCAATCAACTCATGCTGTGATTTTTGCAAAAGACCTGAAACCATCTTCAGACAATCATGGCTGCTTTCTGTTTTATCATGTGGTACCATGATGCTCCGTCATTAAGGTCACTTTCAGGCTAATTTCGAGTCGAAATGGTGTGAAATTAACCTTAGCTTTTTCACATGGGAATGCAAAAATGTGTAGCCAAGTGATTTAGTGTGAGTAAATCCAACGGGTCACCTGGTACACATGCTTAAGCCTGGATAACCTTTGAAATCATTTATTATGAGAATGGTTAAATAACAACTGTGGTCACATGGTCATTTTCTGCTCTAATGTCTTTTCATTCCTGACCTCAAATTATCTGTTCATGTAGAAGAGTCAATTCTTTCAAACTCTTCACACTCTGATTTGAGTTGTCATCCTTCCAAAGGAACAAAAAGGCTGCACTTTCCATTTGAGCAGCCAAAATCTGATAACAAGTTTCACTAATTATTTGGAAAGCTCTGGCTCTGACTTCAAATGGCACATGGGGAGGAGAGGATAATTGATTTTATAACAGCCATTTCATTTGACAAAGCAACAAAAATAATTATAAACATAATTTCCTTCCTAACAATAGCTCGTCACCACGACTCAATGTTAAAACCAAATTTCCAGATTGGAGACCTGAGGCTATTGTATTTAAAAGAGAATTTCACGCCACAAAGTGCAGTTATTTAATTTTCTAGCAAACTTTTTTCCACTTGTAGCCTTACCTGATAACAACAACAGTTTAATAAACTGATTTTTATCTGTTTTTTTGTTGTTTGTTTGTTTTTGTTTTGTTTTGTTTTTTTTGTTCGTTTGTTTATATCAGCGCGTAAAATCGCTCCAAATGTATAATATATGTATTTCTTTGGTGGCACTGGTTTCAAAAACCTGGATCAACTTTGAATTAAAGGTCAAAAAAGTGAAATTTAAAGTTTCCAATAACTTTTCCATAGTGCTGCGTATCTATATGACCTCCTGGTATTTCATGCGAGCTGTGCGTAAAAGTTGCACCGTACCTGCGATGTCCCACAGCTGCAGACGCACCGTCTCCTGGTCCCAGTTGAGGACTTTGAGCGCAAAGTCCACCCCGATGGTGGCTCTGTAGTTAGGACTGAAGTTGTGGTGGACATAGCGCTTGATGATGCTGGTCTTGCCGACCCCGAGGTCCCCTATCACAAGGATCTTATAGAGATGCTCCTTATGGTGGTTGTTCTGCATGGCGATCGAGGAGGGCGAGAGCTGAGCATGAATCCACCGTAATGGAGAGGACCTGCGGATGAAAGGGCAGAAGCTCAGGACAGCGCAGAGAGGAACTGAGCAGAACTGGGATTGAAGAAGGGTGGTGAGGTCCGCCCCGGACCGCTCAGCAACACACACGTCTGGACCTTGTGACTCACACAGAGGAACTGCAGGGAGTGCCGGGATGTGTTTAAATCCTGGAGGGAGTGTTCAGATTACTTACAGCTTATCATAAACTAAATAGATCAATTTAATAAAGTAGTTAAAAGGAGGTATTATATTGGGGGGCTGGAGTCTATCCCAGCTGACTTAGGGTGAAGGCAGGAGACACCCTGGACAGGTCACCAGTCTATCACAGGGCTACACTTAGAGACAGACAACCAAGCACACTCACATTCACACCTACGGACAATTTAGAATCACCAATTAACCTCAACATGTTTTTGGACTGTGTGGGAGGAAGCTGGAGAACCCGGAGAGAACCCACGCTGCACGGGGAGAACATGCAAACTCCACACGAATCGGCGACCTTCTTGCTGCAAGGCAATGGTGCTACCAACTGCGCCACTTTGCAGCCCTAAAGCTATCATTTAGTTTGAATAAACGCTACCAAATACTTATTAATATGTGAAAGCGTCAGAGGACATTTGAAGGAATATGGGGTAACAATGATTTTCAATATTCTTGCTGCTTCCTCATACACCAACATCTACATATAAACTGCCAATACATAATAAAGTAACACAGTAGCCACAGCAGTAAAAAAACAAAAAAACAAATTAACTTTAAAAATCTCCAGTTACTACTTACTGAAGCTTTTAGGAAGGCCATGACCTGGGTAATTGTGAATTTCTAAAAAAGAAATAAAAATCTAAAAAAAGGGATCGATAAAGTTCTATTCTATTCTAAGTACAGGATGAATTGTGAAGACTTGTTACAATTACAAAGCTGCAGTCTGTTATGATATAATTACCCTCTAAATGTGTTCACAGTGGATAATTTTTTAAAACAGACACAACATTTTAGTGGTAGCTGGTTGAGGTGGAACTGTTTAAATGACACTGTTGGATGATTAAGTCAATGAAAACATACTACACACAAATACAAACACACAAACAGCACCCTCCATAATTATTGGCACCCCTGGTTAAGATGTGTTCTTTAGCTTCGAGTAAATTCAGTTTTTTTCTAAATAATATAGGACCAAAATGAAAAAAAAGAGGAAAATTCAACCTTTAATTCAAGTGCATTTATTCAGTGTGAAAAAAACCCCACATTAGAAAATAATTCTTTTACATCAAATCATGTGTGCCACAATTATTATCACCCTTGATATTAATACTTTGTACAACCCCCTTTTGCCAACAATTCATTTGAGTTGAGTTGTAGGCTACATTTTTCTACAATTTTCAGTGTGAGAGTATGCTTCTGCAATAAAAATTGACTTTATTTTAAGGCTTTTAACACATCTTAACCAGGGGTACCAATAATTATGGAGGTCGCTGTTTATATATAGTGGAGCTGTTGGCTAGAGGAAGTGGAGTAGAAAGTATATTTGAAGAGTGGCACTAAATCATCAAGTACAACACACACACTTAACTGCACTTAAGCACAGGACTTGAGTAACAGGACTTAAGTTACTTTCCATCAGTGTCCCACTTCACTGGATAGATATAAAATTTGTGCTCACAAAGGACATCATTTAACCTTCTATGTAGTCATTTGTATTCATCTTATGAGATTTGTTGTAAGCTCTTGTCACACATAATTTTGTTTATATAATGAAAACCTTTGCTGCACAGAAAACTCCCGAGCAGCACTATTAAAACATGACCTTACACAGAATCCAACATTCCAGGAAGATCAATTTTATTTAATAAAAAACAAACAAAACGCAATTTGCAATGCTTTTATTCCACCAAATTTCAAAAACAAAAATGCAGCAAAAGGGAGGCAGAATAAAAGGCAGTACAATCAGCCGCATCCCTTTAGTAACTGATTCACAAATCCCTTTTAAACGCTCCGCAGGGAACAAATGACCCTCGAGAGAAACATGGCAGTCATGCTTTCTATTTGATGCAAGGACAAAAGATATACCAATTCTCCACTGTGCTTCCCTGAGACAAAGAATCGAGGTCTTGCACCCGACAAGCAAACAAACACTGACTTCTCAGTTCTCTTAAAAAAATGTTACAACTGGCATTCACAGTTTGTACCGATCCATTTGGAATCCAACTTTGTACTGGCAGTTATAGCTTGAATACAATTGTAATTGGCAGCTAATCAGTGATCGCTGAAATCAGCAAACATCAAAAAATTAAAAATGATTCACGATACGGTGACATGGTAAATTCAACTTTTATACTACAAGAAAAAAAAATACTGCTTTAAAAAAACAGTTTGACTGTTTCCCTCAAATTAAAATTCATTTTAGGAGCTATAAACAAATGGTATGTTTAAAAACTTTCAAGATTAAACCTAAAAATGAACTACAATACAAGCTCTAGTGTCCCTTTTTTCATTTGAAATAATGCCAGATAGTTCCCAAAGGCTTGATGTGTGCCAGATCATGGTGGGTTTGGATCCAATGCTTCCATTGTCACTATCAAAATCCCAAAAATAGATGGTGTGATATTTATTAGTTCTGTCAGATAGACTGATATCGGATAGATGCACAAAACATGTCACTTGGGTTTGGTTTCTTAGCCTTTCTGCCTTTCGTGGTTGTAAAAAACAAATCTTTCCCCCCCAGCATAGAAATCCACAGACAGAAGGTGAATGACAAGGAGGTGAAGGGAAAAGCTCCAAGCCATAAATAGCCACTTCTACACTGATGTGATCACCCCGTCTGTGTTCCTGGTTGAAAAATGTATCAACGAAACCCCTTCATTCCTAGTGGCTCTATGTTAAAATCTCTTTCACAGCTCGGCACTGCCTTGACAAACAGCGACACCCACAATTCAAGTTTCCATTCATTTACCAATCAACAGAAACTAACAAAATACTTTGTATACGACTGTAAACATTTAAGCATTTGACAGCTGACGGATCATTAAAAAGAAATGCAAGGCTAGTTTTAGGCTTAAAAAAGGAATCAAACTCACACTTTTGATTGTGATCCAGATTCTGGGTAACTTCCCTTTGTAATGTATCTCAAAGCTATTTGGAATATTGGCATTAAAGCTGAAATCCATAACTTTTCATCTTAATGTGTGATTTTCACCCTATTTGTAGGATTAGAGAGGAAGATAAGACTACCCATGTGACTATTGATACATGCTACTGTGTAAAGTTACAGATTTTAGCTTCAAATTTTCAACCTTCCAAGCAAAACAGTGAAGAAAGCCAAGCTACATAGGAAATATATCCAAATTTCACGACTGAGATTGATCATTCAGAAGCCTCTCATCCTGAGTTTTCAGCTTCTACAGTTTAGGAATAGGGTTGGCTGCGACTGCGATGCTCTCGATGGAACACTCATCACTTCCCCGGCGAATTCGGAAGAAGCCGTCCTCACCCCAGCCGGTGCCCCAGCTGTTCTTCACAATCCAGTACTTCTGTCCAGTCATGTGGCAGCGGCCATACCCCACTAACAGCACGGCATGGTTGGTCAGCTCGAAGGGATTGAAGGGATCTGTAAGGCCTGTGTGGTGGTAGATGCCCTCCGTATAGTGCATGAAGTCAGGGTAGACCTGCAGACGGAGAAAGAGCATTGATTTTTTCACTTTACTTTTTTTGCTCTGTGAAGGCAGAAGGTGTACTGTATTATAAAGGATAAAGTATACAAAACATTCCATGAAGAAGGTAAGGTTACATTTACATATAAAGGAATACAATATGAGTTCATTGCTGGGTTTTTGTTCCATGTGTGGTTTGAGTTTAAAAGGACAATTTAAACATGTACTCCCAGGGACTTAGAAAACACTTTGTTGAGACTGATATAAAACAAAATATGGTGATGTAGTACTCAAGAAAAGTTCTTGATAGTCCAAAAAAAAGGCAACTCTGGGTTCAGAGGAAGGATTGCAGTTTAAGAAAGAAAGCAATTTCAAATGTTAAAAAGCTAATAACCCTCAAGACATTTTTGTAAATGGGTTAGTTTTAAAAGACCAGTGTGTAGAATTCAGAGGCATCTACTGGCAGATATTGAATTCATAATTATATTTTTGTTTACGTATAATTAGCTGTAACTTAGAATGAGCCCGAGTGAGAGGGCTTGTCTTTCACGGAGCCTGTCATGTCGCGTCGCCATGTTTCTGGCCCAAAATGGACAAACCAAACAGTGCTCCTAGAGAGGGTTGTTTTTTTTAACGTTGAAGCAGCAGCTACTGTAGGTTTTTATGCACGCTTGGATAGGGAGTCATGAGGGAGGGATATTCAGTTGGATGCAATCTGCAATATTAGTGCTAGATGCCACTAAATCCTACACACTGGTCCTTTAAACTCAGCCTATTTACAAAATTCACAAATATGTCTTGAGGGTTAATAGCTTTAACTGCTCTTGTCCCCTCTTGGCAGTCAGAGTAGTGAAACAAACTCTGCATATACATATTGATGAAATATGCACCACCATCAATTGCTTTTTTTCTGTTATTCTTCATTTGACGGTGCTAAAAGCTTGAATGTAATGGAAGCTCAATTATATGTAAAAGTCCTGCACTCTAGCTTGAAGATGCTTTCAGAAAACAAAATCTGGAGCAGTAGAAATGTTTGCCTCATATCTCCGGTTGTGAAAATAGGTGACTGCACTGACAGAGCAAAACCCCTGCTGGTCAGACAGCACATCATGTATGTCTAGGAAAAGCAGCTCAACAGCAAGCAGCTGTTGTACCTCAAAAGCCACAGCCATTGGTCCATTCTTGACCAGCTCCGACATCATGGCCATCTCACTGCAGCCGCCATAGAACCCACCAACATAGCCATACTCTGCTGTGTAAATGCGGCCACAGTTTTGAGGAAGGCCACATGGAGAGTCCTTCCCAATATATGGGAAGCATGACTCATCCACGATACCGAAGTCCTGTGCGTACTTCCCAATCAGGTATGGGAATCCGCCATCACAACCTTAAAATGAGAGATGGATGTTAAATGTGGTTTGTTCAACATGTATTCAATTTGGACTTGTCAAGAAATACTTTTACAGGTTGTCTTAAATTTCTTTGAGGATGAACTATTAAATGAGGCTTGTTTTTCCCCAGAGACTCTTCAAAATAATTAGTAAAATGTACTAATCAGGGCAGCTATGAACGCTTGATTTTCTGAAGGCACTAAGGACACACTTTTCAAAAAACACTTTACATGTTCTGATTAGGAGGGAAGGCAGCCCTGAGTTTTCTCACACTTGTGTCTTACGATATAAATATTCTACAGAGCATGTTTTGTGTATTTCATATATGCAGTGCTCTGCAGCAACTATTTTTATTTAAGTGAATTGATCAGATCAAGAACTAGATAGTGTTAGTTTACCTTGAGAGTATTCAGAGCAGGAGACCACTTGCTGGGGGCTGAGGATGGGGTTCTCAGTGTTGTTGGTGAGGATCCGAACGCGAGCTTCAAGCATTCCCATGGTGGCAAAGGAGTAGCAGCTGCCACATGATGCTGAAAGAGAACATAACAGATTTACAATGAGAAATCTGTGAAATAAAAAACATCACCTCGATTAATCCTAACTTTCCCAAACTTGTAATGCCAACTCAAACCTTTTCTGATCATTGCTGAGGCTGCACTAAGCAGTGGTGTTGTACTACATAGCATTCCATTAAGACATACTTCCTAATATTCTGTACTAATTTCAATACTGTTGACACTGTCAACAAAAATTGCCAACCTCATGCAAGCTGACACGACACCCCTGAAATAAGTTGGTAGCTCAGTGCACCTTAACAGCGCACTTATTCAAGAAAGCATTATGCTACTCAGCACTAAATGTTTCTGTCCCGGTATGTAACTGAACTGCCAATGTATGCATTAAAAAAATAAAATAAAATGAAGCAAGGCACAGAGACAGATACACTGATTAAAGAAACTGGTCACTGTACTTAGCGTGAGACGTCAGGTTCTTAATAAAATGCTCTGCAGAAACAAATTAGGTGAGAGAACAGAGGCTGCAGGGATTTGCTGGGTGGTTTAATTGTAGTAATGATTCAAGTCAGGGTGACACTGAGAACAGTTTTTATGTGGGTCCAAGACCTTATTTTCTTAAGAGCAATAACGTGTAATAGCTATTCAATTAGATTAGATATCTACACTAGTGGGGAAACTTTTGCTGTTGGAGTTTCTGAGAGGATTCAATGTGATGACTTACAGGATGTACAGTTAAAACTCTCTCACTGGACTTAATGAAGCTTTAATTTGCTAAATTGACAGTTCGACCTGCATCTTCCCCTAATAGTCTAGGCTGCATGCAACATTAAGACACTACAATGCTCCTGTATTTGACATGCACCAACCACCTAAACATGGTTCCAGATGATGTACATCCCCCTCCATGGCACTCCCAGTGCCGGAAGCCTCCAGCAACAGCCCGCCAAACTGTAAAAACTGCACAGCAACAGTCTGAGGAACAAGACAAAGAGCCCAAGGCGTTGGCCTGGCCACTAAAGTCCACAAAACCCAAAAGATTTGCTGCCAGCATCCTGATGTCAGACACAACAGGACACTAAAGCTGTTTTGGAAGCTGGAAGTGACCTAGAAAATATAAGGCCGGTAGTTTTAATGTTGTGAATGATCGATGCATTTTTACAACAGACTACAGTTCTTCCATAGGCAAACATCCACAAGAAGGAAATGTGCATGTATACATATATAGTAAAATGACCATGGGCATCACAATCATCTCATCGTGTTCACGTGTCTAGGTCCTCATCACAGAGAAAATTAAAAACAATGATAGAAAAATACATGTATGTGTAAATTAGACTAGTGCAATTTGTCAATCATAGACACTAGGTGGGCAACAAGAGTCATTAAAACATAAGCAGTGTGTCAAATACTGACTTAGCATGGATAGAAATATTCTGAAAGGTAATATCATAGCTTCTTTGGGGTATTTGTACAAGCAGTTGTCAAAATATTGCATAGAAAAGTAATGGGAACGATGATTCAATGTGCGGGTGCTCCTTGCATCACAGCCTACGTAAGACCAACCAGACAAATTTATCCTCAATCCGATCAAATTTTTGTGAACTGAAACGGAACCTGAAAAAAATAATCTACCTGACTGGTTCCACTGAAGCAAAATATGCTCCACAAGCCTGCACAGTGGCTTACAGGGCTTCTAGAGAAACACTTCAGTCCTCTCCAGATCCTTAAACCCCACCCTACAGAGGCCCTCTCAGACACTCAAAGTACTCAGCACGCATAATCTCTCCACTCACACACTAGGCTGTGCAGAGACACAGGAGGAGAGCACAAAGCAGACTCAGACCTGCCAACAGGAAAGCAAAGTAGCTGGCGAGCTGCTGTTCAGTGTCTGGCTTACCAGCAGCTGGTCAAACGTAAAGGTATGGCTTTGTCTGCCTCTGAACCTGCCCGTCTTCTGAATTATGATGTTTGCATCTTTGTATTACATTTCTAATATCACATATTCAAAATACAGCTAGCATTCAGTGCCTTTAAAGCTGATTATTGGGATAACTTAAACTTTACATGGCAGCATTAAACAGGGTTCCTTTAGGATAACAGTTAAATGTCACCTTGGTTTCTCACAGGGCTGACAAAGTTAACACCGTCAACATTTCTCCAGTCCCAGCGCTCAGGTAGAGCTGCCGCCATCTTGGCTACATTAGCTTTCACGGGCGCAGGCCGAGCACGTCTAAAGTAAAAATAAAGAGACACATTTCAAGGACAATGTCTGTCAGACATCTACATTGAGAAACACTTCAACAGACAATGTAATACAATGCCTATGACAAGGTTAAACACCACTTGAAGGGGGTGAATCATTACACCTCATGTTTTCAATTAATTGACATTACTTCGTAGAAATCTGTTTTCACTTGGACATAAAAGAGTCTTTTTTTGTAAATTCTTTATTAAAAAAAAAGCTAAATTAAATTGACTTTGATTCAATGTTGAAAAGCAATAAAAGGGGAAATCCTCCTCGAGGGGTGAATACTTTTTGAATTGCAACTGTAACTGTGGAAGATAATGCATGGAAGTCCACCTTAAATAACTCTGAATAAGGCGAATCTAGTGGTTTTGAGTAATATTATAAGTGCTTGCTTCACTTCTATGGTTGGTAAAGTATGTGCTTATTTTGCATGATTGGTGGCCAACTGGACTAAGCCCTGTCAGACGCATTCCACTAAAAGCTATATGATATTTTTTGATATTAAAAAAAACTGTAAGAAATGCTTATGGGGAAGATCAGAAACCATCTTGGCAAAAGTAGTCATCTCTTAGGGCGTACATAAGGATCCACCAACCAAACGAAAAGGACAGAGCCCTAGTTTTTAATTTAGGAGCACAAATTACTCATCTATGCGCATCCTTTTTTTCCCCCCTCCATGACAACTCATAGCATAAAAGAGGAAATGCAAGAATATACTCACATAGGGATATGTGAGGCGGGCCCTCCTGCTCTGTAGTGCAGCTCCTGCAAAGTGTACATCTCATGCTCTGCATAGGGCGCAGCCTTCCAGGATCTTTGTACAGAGTTGATTGACTCAATGAAGTTCAGGTTGTGTTTGTAGGGCCTCTGGAGCAGCCTGTAGAGTGAATAATCATACGTCTGAGGTTGGATTTTTGAATACATGACTTGTCTGCCCCACCAACCGAGGAATAAAATAAATAAATAAATAAATTTACATTACATGAGCAATGCTAGTTGGTACAGGAAGAACATTATACAGTACTGCTACAATAAAAAAAAAATTTGTTCAGCTGCTAGTAGCTGAATGGAAAAGGTGAATTCCACAGACCTGCTGCAACAAACACTGTCGTTTCTCTTCCCGTTCTAAGTTCTTTGTCTCCCACTATGTTATTATCTGTCAAATAAAGGTGTAAATGTCCAAAAGGGAAGAAAACTACCTTTGTGAAACTTGGACTATTTTTATTGACTACATTTTGTGTTTGCTAAGCTGCTGTCACACTAGATTGTGTAATAGAGATAGATGTTTTAACATTTCTGTAAAGACTTTTTGTTAGCTACTGTTTATTCCCTGCACAACAGGTGGCATTTGCACAAGTACTATATGGGACATAATCATGAAAATGCCTGCCGTTTCTGCCTTCCTTACTGCTGTTCAACATGAGTTAAGTTGAATAATATGTATGCTTACTAACGTGTCTGTCACTAGTACATGATAATGAAATGTTTTGGTATTTTAACCACACAGTCACTTATTGTGATACTCTTTACTTCACTGTGACTTGAAAAATTAAGACTTGCTTGTTGCTACATTTCTAAACACAACAACATGTTCATCAGAGACTAAGGCAAGGAAGACGTACAGTGACCACGCTATCCGTCAGAATCATGCACAGAAAAGATTAATCCAGTTAGTGAATAAAATGATTAAAAGAGTAAATCATTTTCATCATGGGTGTAAAGTTTCTCATTTCATCCTGGTTAGTACCACTACAGAATTAACATTTCGATTTCGATGTGAGGCTGTTTTATGTGAGGAAAAGACAGTTTGAGTGTGGAGACATTTTGTCTATTACTGAGTGACTTTCCAAGTTTTACCTACACACTGGCCAAATATGACTCTTGCCACACATTCTCCTTTTGCTTGCTAGTTGTGCTGGAAGGCCTTTTCCCTATAATCTTAGATAAGCATAAATATCTGCAAAATGTTGGCAAGAAAGAAAGTATCTGAAGTCCATTTACTAAAAACAATGAGGATAAACTTGCAAAGTTTTAACTTAACAGTCCCAGGGCCAAACATATTGTACATATTAAAACATTTTAACAGACTCTGCTGGGATATTGTGGATTCAAGTTCTATTTTTATGATACAGCTGTGTTTGAGAAATATCACAGTACAATTATAACAAATACTTCAACAGTTAAGAGATGTTCGCAGTTTTTGCTGTTTAACTCAGATATTTGGATAACACAGTGATGAATTAAATCACTTTATCTACAAATTAAATAACATGGATCCCAAGAGAAACAATATTTTATTCTTTTATTATGATTTACATGACACATGAGCTTGAACTTACTAAAAAACTCTAACTTGACTCTTTAAACAATCTGATAGAAATGCAACTGAAGCCAAAGACTAAAAGAAGCACCTTCATGTTTCCAAAAACAAAGTCAGTTTTTATATCACCGGCCCTGCAGTAACTGCGCTTTCTAATCAGATTTTTTTTACATGCAAATTCCTCTTGCAGGCCCGTTTCTAAGGCTTACTGAGGGTGAGTAAGACTAGCACGGTTCACAGCAGAGGAGGAAACAAGGGAGGAAAAGTGCAGAATAAAGCAAAAATATCAAAACTGCACACTGAAAGCAACACTTCCTGCATTGAGACTATGTGTATAAACAGGTTTTCACTGATGTCTTGTGCTTGTTAGCTTGAGTTTTTCTACTTTTTATTTTAATGGAGGTACAAAGCAGTCATAATTTACATACCAGCTGTTGAAGACTGGTCTCACATCTTTTCGGGGTGGTACTGGAGCTACCTTCTTCCCTACAAAGCAGGCCCAGTTGCGTCCCAGGACATCATGGACCCACCCTGGCAGGATCTGGTCACAGTAACTGGTCACCTTAGAGCCTTCCTCAGTGTACTGAAAGAGTAGGGGGACAAATAGAACAGAGTTTTAATACTGAAATAACCACAGAATATAACATACAAGGAAGACTATTTTCAGTAAATCATTAATCACTGAGTCATGTGCTTTGAGGAGGAATCATGAGATCTAGTGCAAGTCTAAAGTCCTTTCTCAAATCATTCTTCTTATACCTCTACACTAAAATAAACTAAGAGGCAGACAATGAGGAAGTTGAAGTAGATGTGAATAAATCTTAATGTGGGTTTGAAGACAGATTGGCTGACACTTCCCCCCCACTCAGTGTCATGTGAGTGGCAAGAAATAACAGATGACCACAAGATTAACTCAGAATCCACTGCTTTTAAAGAGTGAATATTTTGCCGATATCATGGTGGTAGATAAAGAGAGAGGAAATTGAGTGATAGTGAAACAACCCTTTAATGTCATGGAGTGCTTAAAAAAAACCCACAGCGACATTTCCTTTCCAAGTCATTTCCAATAAACACACCCCGTTCTCACCATTACAATGATGAACTGAACTTTGACTACATTGCTTGTGATCAGCTGAGCTAAATCAATAAAGGTGAAAAGTACATAGTACATACAATACAGTCTAAAAAATGTCATTTAAATAGTTTGCATCAGGGCATTATAAGTGGAGGGAGATGAAAACAACTAGGAGATTAACTGTTTTTGCAGCATTAACATGGCCAAATACCTAAAGTTATCACTCATACGAACGAATGAATGTGTCTTTTTATCTTTTACCTTGAAAAAGGCGAACCATTTGTAGCCATTGATGACCACTTCAAAGCCCTGATTGTAGATGAGGGTGAAGAAGCCAGTGTTGCCCAGCTGGTCTGTGGCTACAGAGAGTTTCTCCAGTGTCACAGTCACTGTGCTTTCACCTGTAGCTGAGGATGAACACCACAACACATGATTTATGGAGGGAAATTTCCACTCATCAGTCCCTAACCACAAAGACTAACTCAATTCTCGTCATTGTTATTCTTGTATTTTCAATTCTAGTTTTTTTTTTTCTATACACAGAATCAGAATCATCTGTACTGACCAAGTGTAAACATGCAAGGAATCTGACTCAAGATTTCTCTTTGCTCTCAATTCACTTGCACAAAAAAAACATGCATGTAAACAAGGACAGCAGGTTTAAGGCAGGAAAATGAGTGTTTGACTATTATGTACAGCTCTAGATATGTGTAAAGAGAACCAAAGTTTAGTGCAGACTGTGCAGACTCCCAAGGTGAAAGTAAAATCAGATATTAGCAATAAATACTGCATTACATTCAGATATTGTATTTGTGTTAGCTTAAAGCTAATTTACATCACAACACAAGACAAGGCAGTTAGGGTCTTGAACTTAAAACCAGGCCTCAACATGTCACATGATTACCACAAGGATGAACTGTTATTTCCTTGTCTTGTGATCAGTCCCATTGTGCGGCCAGGTTGTATTTTCTTTACCTTGAGCGGAGCAGTTGACGGTCTTGTCGTGTCCTCCTTTGGACACCTGGAACACCCATGTTCCCACCAGGTCCTCATAGGTGCAGTTGGCCGGTGTGTCACCCCAAGACCCTTCAGCCCACAGCAGGAGCACACACAGCAGCACACCGCTCAACCTCATCCTCACACTCAGCTAGCTTACCTGCCCACACAAACACCTTAAAAACTACGGAGTCAGAGCTGTGTCGTCCGAGAAAGCACAGATAACACTGATAAAACTAACCCTAGTAGTGTCACCCTAGTTTCTTCTACTCCTACTTTGTCACCTCTGCCACTGTGTCCTCTCACAGCTACTAATGCAAACTGAAACTTTTGCACAGACCGTTTGAGTTGTCTTTCAAGATGGATCCCTGCAGCCAAGCAGCGCACCGCACCGCACATGCGCACTATTGTTAGTGTAGCCAAGTAACTAAATGTGAAAGCAGACAAGAAATATATCTCAGATAATAGTACTCATATATAAATGTCTTCAAAACTTCAGCTCATGTTCATCACTCTCCCGAAAAATATGCAAGTCTAAGCGCACTATGATTACCTTATCGAGACTTTTATACACTTACAATTGGTCTACGTTGACCTCAACGAACTAGGAAATACACGACAGTGAACGTTTCACTCTCAACCGTGATTTGGGCCGCCATCTCTTTTTTGGTTTCGGTTTCCTGGTCACACGACCCTCCAGCTGCGAGCATGCGCAGTGGACGTGAAAAGCAGCGGTCGATCACACAGACTATAAGAAACTCATATAGTCTATGGTCGCTAATTAAAAAGGCAAGCTGTAAATTATTATTGTTGTTGTTATTGCTGTTGTTATATGTGACTTAAATACTGGTAATAGCCTGTGATTATGAAAAGGAGTTAAAAAATATAAAATTCCATTTTTATTGCAACAAATTGTTTTAACTTCAATAATATTTTAAATGGAATATCAGCAAACAGAAACAAAATGTATATCTGTTGACAGTGACACCATGAATAATACAGAAACAAGTAATAGATTACAAATCATGTAGCCAATTTCTGTTTTTATTACTACACTGATAAGCAATCTTTACATTCTTTCATATAGCTCACTGTAGACATTTTCCACAGCTCACACCGTGTCATGGCGGAACAAGCACAGTTTGGTGTAAATAAAAACATGAATGATTCAGAGCTGTGCCGGTTCTAATGTCCACTGACACAGCTGGAAGTGTGTCCAGAGTTTTGTACATTTATGCATGACGATCCTCAAATATTCCCAAAACGGAACAAAAAGCTGGTGTCCATGCAGTTTCAATCCCTCAATGTTACATTGCTTGTCACACTTTAAGGAAATGAAACTGCAGCTATGCAAAACCTCTGCTGATTAACACATGTCCAAAATATAAAATCACTGTTTAGCAAAGCATAAACTGCTGCATAAATGGTGACTATGTGTGGAATACGATTAGTGAGTGGTTTAAACAAGGTGATGATTTTGCACACAGCCACAATTTCTGCCATGAAAAAGGCTGGTTACATTTTATAGTTGCAGGTAGCGCAGCAGGTCTGCTCAGAACTATCGCAATATAAGACTGTATCTCACCTAACTGTGGTAAAGTTCACAAAACTGTTTCCAAAAGACCTTTTGTTTGTAAGATACTGCATTTCTAATTTGGTGAAAGTTACAACATCAGCAGGGTCTGTGATGCCCTGTGTGATGAGCCAGAAAGACCGAATGACATCCCATTAGGAGCTTGCAGTGAGTAGAGCAGCAGTATATTGTCCGAGAGAGGCTCTCAGATCACCCAGACGTTATCCAACATTGATCCTGGAGGTGCGGTTAATGATGATACACTAATCCACAAAAGTGACAGTTCCCATTAGTTTGCATTAAAGGGACAATAATGTCTGTATCTGTTTGTTTTTTGTCTTCATTTGAGTCTGTTGTTTGGATAATGTGGTTTTCTAACAATCACTGTGGTGGAATTTTCTCCTCACTTATCTCCCATGAGGTCAGAGACTCAGCTGGCCTGTTTGCATGGCCAATGTGTGGGAGTCACTGTATCCTGATAGGCCTGTAGTTAAAGGGGTTAAAGAGCTCATTTTAGCTAGCGGGCACTTAAGGGAAGTGCTGGAGGCTTTGATCACCATAGTAACCATGGCATAGACTGACTCATCTCCTTGACAGACCATAATAAGCACTCATCTGAAGAAGGGACTGAAGAGGTATTAGTCATACAGTCTCATTAGTGCCATTACACCGTGTTTGTGTGGAAGTGTGTGCATTTGTGTGTGGGCACATGTGTATGTCACTGCATTTACGTGACTGTGCGTGTGCATATAGGCATGTGTGCGTGTTTATGCAATAACACAAATAGAGGAGCGGGGAGCAGAGAGGCAGGAGGGATGATGCTACGAATGTTAACAGTCTGAACCCACTGAGCCTCCAAAAGTGACTCATTGAAAGTCGTGTTTCAATCTTGATATTGTTCTCGCTTCCACTGGCAGGAAATTAAAACTCAAGTGACTTCTGCTATATTGGCACCCACAGATTTGCTCCCTGCTTGCCTGGTTTCCTCTCTCCTTCCATCACATGTTACCCTCCTCTGTCATGCCTTTTTGGTTTCTGTTCCCTCCTATGCTTGTGCCTCTCCATGCTTGCTTCTTGTGTCGGTTAATTTCTGGTGCATATCTCTCCAACACACACACACACACACACACATGCTCGGGATTCGCTTCACATCCATTAATGCAACAGAGAACCTGCATATATTTCTTCATTAGCCGTATTAGCGGCTATAAAATGTCATAAAAATTTAAATGATTAATCAACGACTCATTTAAAATCTCGCCTGCATTCAGGTGCTTGTGTGCGAGCTTGTGCATCTATAGGTGTACAATGAGCATAATAAGCATGCCTCCTTCTTTGTATTCCCTGCACAGTTCCTCACTCCCTACCATGCAAAAAACCCACTTTCTTAAAAGCAGCCAAATCAGCCTGACCATCCCTGTATTATGTAGAAGTCAGTACTGCATTTATGCAAATATAAGCTCTGAAGGAGCTACGGAATCAAGCGAAAGTGTAATAAAAACAGTAATTTATGAACCTGTTTGCGCTTCACACGAGTCCTGTTCAAAGCTGTTAAGTACCTGATGAGATCTGACTAAATTTCCTTGAACATGCTGTTTGAAAACCATTAAACTCCTCCTGTTGCTTCTGTTGGCATCTTTGTTGTAGTTCTATTTGATGGGAGCTTTATGATAATTGGAACAACTAAGAGGGTGTTAACAACATCTCTTAGCAGCAACAACATCAATACCGTTCTCTGCTTTTTCTGTCTCATGCTGATCAATCCCAAACAGAAAAAAAAGGAGGATGTGAGAACAGCATGTCACTACATTGAAGGTGTAGGTGGAGCCTCTCCATCGTAGAGTGGGGTTGACCACTTCAGCCCTGTGGTGTTAAGGTTGCATGCTTCACATTTAAATTAAGTCCTCCAGAGTGACTCCACGGTCAGTTACCTCGGCCATATGCAAACACCTACACGCAAAAAAAGAGGCAGAGAATGAAACGATTTCACCTTCCTCGTGCATACGTTTATGCCCACACATGCATGCTGTGTATATGAATGTAGAACATATATATATGTGTCCGCACATATACACACTCACACAGCCCGACACTCACTGTTAACCACATGGTGTCATGAGACCCCTTGCCCACACAGATGTTATTTATAGGGCCCAACTGATGACACAGAGCCCACAACATGCCATTTACATACTAACAGCACTGACTACACTAAATATATGTTGTAGGGTGCTGTTTAAGGATTACTCTCTAGTTTCCTTTTTTTTTAGTGAATTCATGCATTTGTACATGCTTTACTGCATTTTTTGGAAGTGCCAAACTTACAGCACTCTTCACAGCTGAGTATATAAATAATAATACATTTTTTTGTATAGTATGTTTCAAAAATAAGTTTATAAAATGTTTCACTGACATCAAAACAACAAAATATACAATGCAGTCAAGCCATAGCAATGCAATAAAATAAAAGCAATTAGAAGAATATATAATGAATATGGGGCTGTAGAGGGGAAAGGAGGGCATTAACTTCATATCTAACATCCTCAGGTACATTTTAAGACTCCAGAGATCAAACCAGGGGTCTCAGGATCTTCATGTGCCTGTTTACACACAAACAGATGTCTGATTTTATTTCACATTGTTCATGAACTGTTATGACATCTTTCCACAAAACAATTACTTGTTCTACCACGTCAAATTATCATTTTTCACAGCAAGTTGAGTGCTACACAATCTAATTATGTTGCCGAGGTTTGTTTTTTTGTCTGATAATGGCACAAGAAACTGGCTGCAAGTGTAAAAAGGCTGCATCTCTACTGAAGTGACTTATTATCAGTGCCACTTATTATGTTTTCATGATGCCGTTATTGAGGCAGAGTCGACTGCGGTAGTCTCTGAGCATTAAATCAATTCATATTTATCTAGAGACAAACACACATGACCATCCCACAGGAGACTATTGAAGGAAATATTGATGTAGATATGATGCTTGAATAAATCCATGAATGACTGAGCAGAGCTGGTGAATATATTACACATATGTTCCTGTCCAATTACCCCATTCATAAAGAAACAAGCCAATTTCTCACTGGTAGACTTTTCCACTCCCTTTTTAGTATTCTTGCTGTTTGCTTATTGCCTTTTCATCCTTTCCATTTACTTGAATCGGGGGCCATTTGCGACAATTTGAGGATTTCATTTTGGAGAGAGCAATTTCTGTACCGAGAGGCGAAGAGAGGAAGAAAGCAAAAATAGTGCAGAGAAAAGTGATAGAGGGGAAATAAAAGAGGGTAAATTGCAGTGATCTAGAGGTGACTTGGGGAGAGAATGAAAGACGGTGGGCTAATTTCATTGTCTTGACCTGTATGTCTTCAGTTAAATGAATGATGTGTTTTTGAGGAGCTGATTCACAGCAGAGTCGCGTCACCCTGCCGTACTGGCTGCCATGTGACACTGAATGAGACGGAAGGGGAAGCAAATATCACAGGAGCTGTCAAGGTGCTGTCTAGCGGCTTCCACTGACTGGGTTCAACATGTAGGCCAGAGACTCACAGACAGCTCAGTTCATTTATTGTGGGCGATAAAGCTGGGAGTTTGTCCAACTGCTGGATGCAGCGTACCCAGTGAAGGTGTGAAGAACCTGTTTCTCTCCAGAGCTGAGCTACAACGACAGCCTTTGTATCATTTTTACAAATTATTTTCAAGTTTTTCTACGATGATTGCTGTGTTGTTGTTTTTTTTTTAAATTGAGTGATGCTGCAAAA